GGTGCACAGTAAAGCCAAAAATGCTGCCAGGTCACATGATCATGGTCCAATCACAAAGCAATCTCTCTAGATCCCTTCTTTGATCATCCATAAAACAAGATCCTTAGGGTGAAAAAAGTAACACAACAAATTGCAAGCAGTGATTTTTATTTAGTGTAATAAAACTTACCTGCTCGTTCTCAGAGCACCTGGAGACATCTCCTCAAGCTAAACTCTTCCTCCCAAACCTGAAGTAACTGAAGTATCCAATCAACTCAGCCAAGAGGCAACAGAAAAAAAAATAAATCTGAGTAATGTACCATCGATAACTCGGTACAGAACTACATTTAATTTCACTTTTTCTTTTCTGCCTTTTATGCTCTACGTCCCACTTCAGATTCAACGACTGTAAGCACTACTCACACTACACTGGGTATGAGGCATTCTGAGAGATTTTTTCACACCCCTTCTTTTAGGGGATGCAGAACCAGAAGATGCGTGGTTCAGGGTTCTGTCACTTAAAAATATGGCTCTGAGTAAGTCTGTCAAAAGGATGGCTCAAAAGTTAACAAACTTGATTTGATCACAAAATTATGCAGCAGAGCCCGGATTGAAACTAAAGTCCTCTCATTCCAGGGCACCTGGGTGGCTCAGTCGGTTAAGTGTTTGAGTCTTGGTTTCAGCTCAGGTCATGATCTCAGGGTAGTGAGATGGAGCCCCCCATATCGGGCTCCACACCAGGCAGGGAGTCTGCTAGAGACCCCCTCCCACTTCCTCTTTCTCTGCACCTCCTCCCACTTATGTGCTCATGTTCTCTCTCTCTCTCTCAAATAAATAAAGAAATCTTAAACAACAACAAAAAACCTGAAGTCTTCTCATTTCAATCTGTGTTTTTTTCTATTTCATCAGCATGGGCCAAAAACAGGGAGTAAAGAACACTCAAAAATACTTCTTTAAAGATACAAACTTTACTGTAAGGCTATTGATAAACATAATGAAGAAAAGAAAACAAACAGCAGCAGAACATAAGCCTGAAAGCCAAGGATGAGGGACAGCCAAGGCAAGAATTTAAAAATGGCAGGCAAGCAGTAATGCTGATCTCAACACAGGTTTCTGTGACCAATGGACCCACAGTCTTCTCTGAAAGTGACTTTTAGTTTGGACAGGGAAATACTATAATCTCAACACAGAACAGGCTGTTGAGGCATCTGTCTTCTGTCTGATTCATCAGGGCCAGAGGACAAAGAGCCGCCCTCCCTTGTAACACAACTCTAGCCCCAGCTTGAAAGAGAACGTCTACAGCGGTTTCCTCCTGAGGGAGTGCAGTGGCAGGAGCCCCCGCAGGTTTACTGCGTCCCATGAATCCACACACTGAGCACTCTGATCTTTGACAAGAAGGGTGCTAAGCACTAACACCATCAGTCTTTCTTTTTCTTATTTCTCCTCCACGTTTTCCACCATGTTCATCTGATCCTCTTTCATGTGCCTATGGACTATGTTATTTGTCTCTTTCAAAACTGATTTTATTTTTGGCAGAACTGCTTTATAGCTATAAAGAAAAAATTCTTTGTGGTAAGTGAAAGAAAAATTGGAAGAAAAGTTAAAGATTGGGGCACTGGGTGGCTCAGTCAGTTGGGTGTCCAACTCTTAATTTCAGCTTGGGTAGTGGACTTGGGGTCAGGGGATCAAGCCCACATCATGCTCTCCCTACCCCTCTCTCCCTGTCCCCTCCCACCCTACCATTGGCACTCTCTCGCAAATAAATGAAAAAATAAAATCTTTTTAAAAAGTAAAGGTTAATTCACGACCACCGCCTGCCATATTTTAAAATTAAAGTAATCTAGGGGCACCTAGGTGGCTCAGTTGGTTAAGCATCTGAATTCATCTCAGGTCATGATCTCAGGGGCCGCAGTCATGTCAGGCTCCATGCTCAGTGGGGAGTCTGCTTGCCCCTCTGCCCCTCCCTCCAGCTCTACGCTCTCTCTCAAATAAAACCTTAAAAACTAAATAAATTAATCAAACTAAATTAAATCAAATCAAAATAATCTAGTTTTGGTAAAGAGAAAAGAAATAAAGAGATTTGGGGGGGGGCACCATTCAATGCTGCTTTTATGGGAGATGATCTTAGAGCAAGCACTCTAAAACGGAGAACCAGGCAAGATTACTAAGTAATGGTAAGAGCCATACATATGAGCTCAGATGCAGACAAATGTTAATACATGTGCAACTATTTACTGAGCACCTACTGGGCCAGTTCAATAATTATGTGACCACTATCATCTGTTATCTTTGAAAAAAAAAAAAAAAATCCATGTCAGGGCACCCAAAGAGCTAACAAATCAAATTTAAGATGACAGCTATAATGAAACCACCTCATGGCCACTTCAAAGGAAATACCACAGGAAGGGACGCCTGGGTGGCTCAGTCATTAAGCATCTGCCTTAGGCTCAGGTCATGATCCCAGTGTCCTGGGATCAAGCCCCATATCAGGCTTCCTGCTCAGCGGGGAGCCTGCTTCTCTCTCTCCAGCTCCCCTGTGCTTGTGTTCCCTCTTGCTATCTCTCTCTGTCATAAATAAATAAAATCTTAAATAAATTTTTTTAAGAATCGTAAAAAAAAAAAAAGAAAGAAAAAGGAAATAAAAAAGGAAGAAAGGACTGACTCATCAGTAAGGGTTCTAGTCACATCCACAGTGAAAAGAAGACAAAGAATTACCATCAGCACTCCAGCCCTTCCGTCGCCAGGGAAGAGGCAATGACCACGCAGTTAAACATCCCCAGAAAGTGTCTGATTATAAACTAGTTAAGTCACTCGGTCCAGTTGGAATTATGTGGGACAACTGGATCTCTAAAAAGGGTAAAACAGGGGCTCCTAGGTGGCTAAGCCAGTTAAGTGTCTGAATTCAGCTCAGGTCATGATCTCAGGACAGATGTCCACACAGGGCTGCTCACCGCTCAGTGGGGAGTCTACTTGTCCCTCTCCCTTTGCCCCTTCCCCTGCTCATGCTTTCCTTATCTCTGTCTCTCTCTCTCTCGAGTAGGTAAATAAAATCTTTAAAAAAAAAATTTTTTTTTAAATAGAAAGGGTAAAATAGTATAAAATGACGCCACGAATCTGAAGAACCACTAATAGTTAAATATATTCATTTTAAGCAAATATATCAAAACATGTTAAATAACCAGAGTTATGTCTCACATATTTATTTGTTTTAACTTCAACTCTACATTGCTTAAAATCATGAACCTCAACCAATGAAACAAGATAGAAACAGAAGGGGGAAAGCATATAGCAAGTTAGGAAAGAATGCTAGGATCAAGACACTTGTCTTCACAAACAATTTAATGGCTCCATCCATCCATCCATCCATCCTTCCATTAACTTGCTTTGTTCAGCAGTTGAGTTTAAGACTGGAAAGTCACTGCCACAAAGACATACAAAGCTAGTGGGAATTTTGGAAGACATTTCTAAAACACCACAGGAATTCTCTATATTTATCTGGAAGTCCTGTAAGATGACAAATCTAACCACACACACCCCTTCCCATACAGCAGGGATTGGCCCATGGCCATTTTTATACAGCCCAGAACCAACAATAGTTTTTACATTTTTAAATGGCTAAAGAGGGGCACCTGGGTGGCTCAGTCCATTAAGCAGCTGCCTTCGGCTCAGGTTATGATCCCAGCATCCTGGGACAGAGTCCCACATCGGGCTCCTTGCTCTGCAGGGAGCCTGCTTCTCCCTCTGCCTCTGCCTGCCACTCTGCCTGCCTGTACTCTCTCTCTCTAACAAACAAATAAAATTTAAAAAAAAAAAAAAAAAAAAAGCCTAAAGAAATTTTTTTAAAAAGAGGGGGTAGTATCTCCTGACATGTAGAAATTAAATGAAATTCAAAATTTAGTGTCCATAAGTAAAGTTTTATGCATAGGCGACCTCATTTATTTACACATTTCCTCTAACATCTGTGCTACAGTGGCTGAGCAGAGTGGCTACACGATGGGGACCATATGAAAGATGACCTGGCCCAAATCATCTACCCAAACCTGCCCTAAAAGTTACTACTAATTTGCCTTGAAATAACTGGCTTTAGCTCGGTAGCTTTACAGAAGAGACTCCAGATGGTTTTACTGAATACCATATGAGTAATATAATAGAGAAACTATTTTATCTCATGATAGTTAAGCTAAAAGCAAGCAAATCTCTATGACTTTTTTTTTCAACTGTATTCTGTAAGTAAGAAAGTAGTCTTCCACCACTTTGTTCTTTCTGGTTGGAAAAGAATTATAAGAATATTACTTGTTTTACTTCCCCTACTACTTAAGAAGCCCAAAGTCTTCCACTTACATACAAAATAAACGATAATATAGATCTGTGTTCTTTTCCTGAAAAGGACAGAAAATACCATAAAGTTCAAAAGCAGTGGCTCATAGCCAATTTTTCACATAATTGCCTAACCCTAACCTGTAATACTACCTCCTTACTCAGAATAAAATCTTTAATATATTCTCCCTAACTCAAAGCTTTTTGGTAGGAAATTTTTCATACATAGAAAACATTAGAAGAATAGGTCCATTCCTATAAAACTTGCCTAGACTCTCAAGTACATGTTGCCATACTTGTGTCACCCATTTCTCTATCTTTTCTCTATCTTTTTTAACCGATTCTTTAAAAAATAATCTACAGACAATCGTAACACTCCATCCTGAATACTTTAGCAACCAGTGGCAGGATACTAGTTTTCAACACCAGCATACTAACAAGGAAACAGAGGTACAAAACTACAGAGAAGGTATAAAAAAAAACTTTTTTAAGTTGTTTTCCCCCACTCAGATGAATGAAAATACAGGTAACCTCTCAAAACCAATAACCCACAAAGTTAACCCTGGCGTGTGAGCTTACTGAGACCGTAAGAGTAGCCTGGTTAATATCCTGATTATCGAAAGTGATTAGGACAGCTTAGAATCTCTACCTCCCGTGCTCAAGGACTGCTCCTTTGCAGGAAAGACCACGACTCTGGCACTTACCTAAGGGCAGCAGCATGGTATGTGTCAACATAATCAGAAATGAAGAGCTCTCGGTTCTTAATAACTGGGTCTGTAATGACAAGTTCTCTTCCAGAGTCTGTCAAAATAATTAATTAAGAAGATATTAAAATTGAGCCTCCAAAAACAATTAGGAAAATTTTTGCAAAATCTTTCTTTCAGGTTCACCTGCCACTACACAAAGTACAATAAATAACCAGGTCTGGTTAGGAGGAATAATAACAGGAACAAAGGATCCTGTTGGGTACGTTTTACACATTTTACAAGTCCCCACACTTTGCTGAAATGCATTAAGCAATTAATGAAAAAAAGTGGGGGGGGAGGGAGAAGAAACAGCTATCACATTTTAACAAACGTTTAAACTACAGAAATATTTAGTGATCCTGTCCATTTTAATTTCTTATTGCTATATATTCCAAGATGGAGTGAAATCCCACTGTTTCTGTTGAAAAAAATAACCAAGTTACTACTTTTAATTAGGAACCATAATTTAACTGTTTTAACAGGAATTTTTATAGTTTCAAAGAAGGAAAAAACTAGTGAGTTATAAAAGAACTTCACTTTGGGGGCTTCTGAGTGGCTCAGTCAGTTAAGCATCTGCCTTTGGATCAGATCATAATCCCAGGGTCTGGGATGGAGCTCTGCATTGGGGGGTGGGGGGGGTTGGTCCCTGCTCAGCGGGAGGCCTGCTTCTCTCTCCTTCTGCCATTCCTCCTCCTTGTGTTCTCTCGCTCTCTCCTTCTCAAATTAATAATCTTTGAAAAAGGGGAAAACAAACAAACAAACAAACCCAGAACATCATTCTTCAAAACTGTGTTTGATTACTGCTTTGTTGACTCAAAACCTATCACCAAAAACAGTGTGGACGAGTGGGAAGAGTACAGACACAAGGGCCAACCAAGCTGGATCCCAGCCTGGCTGAGACCACTTAGAAGACATGTCACCTGCCAAGTCCTTGAGCACCTCTACCTTGATTTCCTCACCTGAAAGTGGGCAGTGACAAACTCTAACTCATTATGATTAATGGGTAACAAATATGTATCAGATAGCATGAAGCCCAGCACTGCTCAGAAGAATCAATAAAAATGCATAGTTATACATCTGAACAAATGCAGTACACATTTTATGTGCATATCTCATATGCCAATAAAATTATTAGGTAGAAACTACAATGCCAGAGGAAGAAAAAATAAAAGATGCTCTGAACTACCTTCCTGATTATTCTGAAAGTCAGGACGCAAACTGAATTCCAAACCACTCAGAAAAGCCATGCTTTCAAAACTGAAGTTCACAGCCCTGAATGCAGAAGTGCAACCATACAGATTATTGAAAAGGAAAAAAAGAAATAAAATGTCACCTTCATGTTTTAAGTACTATTATCTCATCATCAGGGGAGAAAAAGCAACTTAAAAAAATGAAATTACTGTTATTTCCAAAGAAGACCTGTCTCTATTCCAAGTTTAAGGGGAAGATGTTATTGGCACATCTCTCTGGTTGTTTGGGGTTTTTTTTTTAAATGCAAAATAATGAAAGAACTCAGCAAAAGCAAATAAATAAATATTCCAGTAATGTCCTCAGTTGTGAAAAGCTTTTTCAGAGACAATTTTCATAGTGGTTATCTCCATTTAGTGAATGTCTTTAGAAACAGCCTTGTCCAAAGCTAAGAAAATGTAAAATCAAACCAGGACGTATTTACCATTTTCATTATGCCGATCCTGAACCAAATGCTGGTACACAGAATCTGGAACTTCAGACTGGCGGTAGTACCATTTGACGTTCATGAGTAGATGGTCCCTCTTACTCTGAAAAGGAAAATCTAACAGCATTAGGAACAGGATTCCGGGTGCCCACAGGTGTACACCATACCCATGATCAAAAGCCCCTGTAAACAGGTGGAGAGGCAGCGAGGGAGACTCACAATTACCACCAGGACCACAAAAATACGTAAGTCAATGAAGAGGTCAGAGGTGTTTTTAATCCCAGCCAGAGCACCCTCTAATCCTGTAGCTCAAAACACTTATTCCAAGAAACCAAAGGAAACCAAACGTGAACCTATACATCTCCTGAGTTTGATTAACTAATTCATTCAATATTGTGTTATTTAGCATAAACTATACAAAACTACATGAACACATCCTTCTATCTGAATTCTTAATCACTTTGGTAAATATTTGTAAATTTTGTCAGCACAGTGTCAAGGCCATTTAAAGGGCAGTAAGTTAGAAAAAACTTACCCTGCAAGGCCTGGCACGAAGTCATCTCTCCGAGGTGTCCCAATCTCCCACACTGAACTACACCCCCCCCCCCGGCACAGCCACCTGACCTGGAGGAACTGCTATGTGGCCAACTAACACATCAACTGTGCGCCGTGGTGAAGGTACCAGTAGTCCGTGGAGCAGGACCCTATCTTATTTATCTTGGAATTTCCAGAGAATGGAACAACTTGTCCATAAATATGTATGAATAATAGAGTTTTATGATGATCAGGGGCCCCTAAGAGTCTGTGGGACACTGAGCCATGTTATCCCCAAAAGTTAACTTTGTTCCTGGTTCATTCAAAGAATAAAGGAGGAAATACTGTCTACTTGAAGGCTATGGGTCTACAGCCTGAGGGAGAACGTCTCTGTGCACCTGGCTGTGAAAGAGCTGAACAAGGCAGTGCACTAAGGCTTCCCAAGGCCTCATGAAATAATTCATGACCCAGGTGAGGGCCTTAAGAGACCTCCCCAAGGTGAATGTGGTATCGTTCCTCTTAGCAGTATCTACCTTCTCATCACAGGTCAGAGGTGAGTCAGAAATGAAAGAGAACTAAAATTCAAGACACATCTCACGTTTATGAAGGAGATGACCAAGTCTAAAATATGTCAAAGGAGTCTTCTTAATAAAGTAAGATGCTTTCTGCTTAAATGAGAGGTATGTATATAGTCTTTACTAAAAGGCCAGAAAGGCTTCCCCCCAAAAACCAACAAAACCTTCACTAAAATATTTAAGCCATTTAAGCTATTAGAAACAAAAGAACCGCCAAAAGTCTTGATGAACTCCCATGTGAAGAAGTGCTAATGTACAGCGAGTATCACCAACACCAGGGTTCATACTTTATAATTAACTGTGTCAAGCACACAGGCCTACAGAAACAGGGCATCACTACTGCTTTGAATAAAACAGACTGTACACAAAGAATAAACCTACTTAATGGGTACTCGCTAGTTTTTATCCATTTTGCTCTTTTATATTCTATGCCGTTTATACCAAAGGTGGGAAAACGACGATGAATCAGTGTTACATAAAAAGAATAAACGTTACATGCCAAGACTTGACACACAAGAGCAGTTACTCCCTGCAGAGGATTATGAAGATCACATCCAACCTGGGGGGGGGGGGGTGGCGAGAGATGGGAGAGATTTCAACAGATTCTTCCTAGGCAAAGGAGACCTGAAGAAGACACAAAGCTAGAGAAAAGAGGGAGGAAGCACAAGACATCCCCACAGTTCGTGTGCATGCGGGACAGGAAAGCGTTCTGCGTGGTGCGGAGCAGAGTTAGTGGGTTTTCCCCTGGACCAGTGGGGCTCTCGGTCTCTACGGCCGACCAAACACACAGGTGGTTTGGGGACAACACACCAGTCATGAGAAAGCAGCTAAAAGACTAGCTTCCCTCCAAGGCAGAGTGATAAACAGCGTGGCCAGGATGAGGCAAACCAGGGGAAGGGGCGGAGGCTGTCTGGAGGTCAAAGAATAAACTGGCCGAAGTTAATGCGCCGTCCCACATGAGCTTCTCACCTTGAGCACTGCTAACATTCGGTCCAGATGAGTCTGTCGTGGGGGCCTACCCTGTGCACTGCTGGATGCTTAGCAGCGTTCCTGGCCTCCGACCACTAAATGCTAGGGCACCCCTCCCTCACTGAGACAACCAAAGAAAAGTCTCCACACATAGTCAAATGTTCCCTGAGGGGAAAAAATTACTCCCCTCCCCTAACCCCAGGTGTAAGCCAATGGCCTAACAGTTTCTTCTTTAAGGAAAGCTGAACCAGGATGGTGAGAATAAAACCTGGTTTAAGTACTACCAGAAGAGAACATGGAATGTAGGTAAGAGCACGGTGAAGTCTGCCAAAAGTTGGATTTGAACCTCATCTTCACCACCTCCTAGATGCACGACTGGAGGCATGTTAATAAGATATTCTGAGACTCCCCTTTTCTGTAAAATGGGAATATGAAACCTACCTAACAGATGACTGAAAGAAGATGGAAAAGTGTACGGAAATGAGTAGGCACTCAGTTTTCTGTTAGTAGGTGACCATAACCAGTGCTTCACAGAAAAATGTCAAGAACTTTGCTGAGAATCACAAGAGTTATTTCTAACGAGAACAGGAGATAAGAGGGAACTGCAGTCCCTTAACTACTAATGGACACCTCAAGGCTCGAAGTAATTAACGACTTAACAAGGCTCAAAAGAGTTCAGTCTTAGCAACCATGTTCTGAAATCTATATTTCCATGTATTTCTTTAACACATCTAAAATGTCTGAAAACCTGAGGGACAACAGAAATAAGCTTTAAAACGTACCTTAATTAGCAACTGTACAATGTCTATGTTTCAGAGCCAAGCCAGAAATTCTGGCTACCCTTTGAGGTTTAATACCTATGTTAACTTCCGACCCGCGTAATGATCACACACATACACAAAACTACTGCTCTAGTTTATCTGTGCCTAGTTTCATAACTCCTAAAACCAGGGGCAGGTAACACAGTTGAAAGCCTATTGGCTATCTTAATGCAGTACTACCTAATCACCAGAGAGCGGCAGCATCGCATTAAAAAAAAAAAAAGCCTCCAGCCTCTTAATTCCTAATACAACAGAACAAAAGGTAGATTCAAAGTAAACAAAAGTATTGAACAAACGTTAAGTAGCTGTACCAGACATAATCTTCCTAAACAGGCCTGTAAGTTAAAGATTAAACATCTATAAAAGGAAGTAGTGTGCTGTTTCAGAGAATACGAGACTAAAATTAAAAAATCTAGCCTTCTAGTCCTGTCTGCAATCACTAGTCAGCTGGGGACAACCTTAGTAGAGTCTCCTGGCCATCTGACAAATGAAGGGGAGAACTTGATTTCTAGGATCACATTTCATTTTATATGCTTATATCTAGATTTGTTCCCCAGACAAAACCAGCAGATAAAGTGGGGTTGGGAAGAGCCCCTCCTGTTTTCTCTACATCAGCATAATGGCATCAACTAACATTACCATCCTAAAGAGGTTTGACAAATTAATTAAAATGCCATCTTTCCCCAGAGCTGCTGGGCAGTGAAAAACAGCAAAAGGGAAGAGAGCAGCGCACCCGCCGCTACCGGTCAACGCTCCCAAAGCTGCCTCAGACACACAGGTGCTGCCCAGTACTAACCACAGGGCATCACCGAGTTCTTCCCACTATTCATTAGACGAAGATGGCTGCTCAGAACCACAGAAAACTGAAAGTAAAAGTAAGCTTAGAGATCATCTGATTTAGCCCAAACCACCTAGGTCTGAATCAGGGTTTTGCAAGTTGATTTGAGCAAATGACTTCTCCAAGTCTCACTTCTCGCCCACATAAAATGAGGGAAGTAACAGCTGCTACCACGCGGAGTCGTGAGGGTTAAGTAAATGAACATGAGTACAGAGAACTGGCTCTCCGTTAAGTCCTCCTATCACGACCATTGTTCTGCAAATGCATACAGGAATGAAGCTACAAAAGGTTTACTTAAATATTTCGCTTTTCCACAGATTCAAATGGAAGCTGGTAAGAGCAACATAAAAATCAATCACATACCAAAGTGGGGGGGGGGGGGGAGAATCTCCACTTCTGCAACAACCTGGGCAGCAGATCAAGTATTTTTAATAAACAGGCCTCATTACCAACTAGTGATGAACTGTACAATTTCATAAAGGTCAAAGCGGTTATAAATGATACATTTTTTAAAAGATTTTATTTATTTGACAGAGATCACAAGTAGGCAGAGAGGCAGGCAGAGAGAGAGAGGAAGAAGCAGGCTCCCCGCTGAGCAGAGAGCCCGACACACGGGGCTCGATCCCAGGACCCTGGGATCATGACCTGAGCCGAAAGCAGAGGCTTTAACCCACTGAGCGACCCAGGCGCCCCATAAATGATACATTTTAACAGAATGTTGGATGAAGAGGCAAGTGGTGAGAAGCTTCACCTGTGACGGCACCTTGGGGTATATTTCTGGGTACAGAAAAGAGCCCACTGAGAAGTAAATAATTTCCCACCATTTTGTCTTAGAGAGAGAGATCTGACTGACCGATTGTACAGGGAGCAGGAAGCACCAACTCTAAGAAAAAACACCACACTTACGAATGCGTCCAATGTGCTTACAGTAAGGTTTCCCAGGATGACTATGTAAACAAGGAGAGCAGTTGATTCTGGATTAAATTAATGGATTCTTCCCCATCATTGGCCTGGATTTCTCAGAAAGGAGGGACATTAGGTAAATCCAAGGAAATAATTTAACTGAGGACAAAACCCACTCCTACCTGGGTTTAGAAAAGCCTAATGTAGGGTGCCTGGGAACAACAGAACAGGAGGTTTTGTAGAGCTAATGAATATCAGACAATGGGTTGAAAAGTAATGCACTAAAAATTCAGAACTGAAATTAAACATTCAGGATGAGGTAACTGACAAAGGGAGACCAGGAGAAAGGGAAAGCAAACAGGAAGCTGCTTGTTTGCAGGGACTGCTTCATTTTATCAGCAGCACAGAATCTGACCATCCCAAATAAACATAAGATCTAAGGTCAAGAAGTAAATTTCCCTTC